TTCATGGTGCTGCTCATGTCTATAGGCGACGACTACCATTTTCCATCAGGTGGGCCTATTCTATACCGGGACCTACACGGCAAAAACATGTTAATAAAAGTTAAATAAATTTACAAAAAAGTAATCATTCTGAAAGTACTATAGATAGAAATTTAATATAAAAATGCTAGTTACCAAGTTTTTCGTGTAACACGTCCAAAGTACCAAACAATAAACAGCGCGGCGCGTTTCCGAAGCCATCTCGCCAGTATGAAATAATGATATTGCCTTTGGCAAAATCCCCGTGTCCTCAGACTCCAAGATGTCCCTTTTCGTTAAATTTTTAAAAGCAAATAAGAAGCCAAGTGCCACAGTCTGGGTCGTAAACGACTGAGCTGAATTACTAGTTCATAATTCGCGACGAATTCTCTTATTCTCCAAGGATTCGTATGCACTAGATATATTTACATGGACATTATTCCTCGTCGCGTCAGCTCGCGTCATATTTGTTTGTAAAATAAATTGTATACTTTTCCAGACGTAACTGGCTAATTATCGTAGTATTAATATTATTATTACATGATATTTTATTTAAACCATATTATTTATTATCAAAAGACGGGTTTTGTCTAGGCAAAAAATCTGTGACACTGCGACCATACCAAGACCATTTGTGCTCACTCCTTTTTTCAAGTTCGCTGCTAATTCCTATCAATAATAGGAATTGTAAAATGTTTTTGTAGCGATGGTTTTTATCCCCTCAGGATATAAAATTTATTTTCTAATTGATATCTTGCCCCGGCTTTGCACGGGTGCAATATTGATACTAAATAGGGCCACGCCCCACTATGTCCGTTTATTTTAAATCTGTAATATCTTCTAAAATATTTATTAAAATTACATGCTGTAAAAGGCCATATTGATCTATATTAAATGGATAATGTATTTAAGGTAGATAATTGGATAAGCCATTTATTCCCATAAAATGTAAAGGATAAAAAATGGTTATTGTAGGTTATCCTTAAGAGATAGACACATACCATCGCGGACTTTTTTGTTGACTTTTTTAAGGTGTACAATACTGTAGTACATTATTTTGAATTATCTCGTAGGGCTCAGCCAACGTTTGCATTGTAAGCGCAAAAAATGTGTTTATTTACGACATCACATTAGAAACCTCTAAATTTATCAATATTTCTCTACAATATTATGCATGTATTATACATATAAACCTTCCTCTTAAATCACTCTATCTATTAAAAAACCACTTCAAAATCCGTTGTGTAGTTTTAAAGATTTAAGCATACATAGGGACGGACAGACAGCGACAGCGACTTTGTTTTATACTATGTAGTGAAGTGATGATATATCATCATATGAGCCGTTAACTGTTGGATATAGGCTTCCCTCTATATAGTTGCCACGTTTGGCAGGCGGGTTGACAACCGCAGTTAAGTTTTGCTGATGTTTAAATAGGGACGCTGCTACCCATCCCTCGACCTTAGTCGCCTCGACACCCACTAGAAAAGAAGAAATGGCCCATTCTATGTCAGGACCACACGACAAATATACTTATGGGGGGGAAAGGGATTGTTAGCAATGGAATTTGACAGCCCCATTGTAAGCAATATACCTTATTAGGTCAACCTCCACGTGGTTCCCCCTGGAAACCATCGTGAACAGTTCTTGTTGAATTCGTCACGATGGACTAACTGACCTACTTTATCCTTACCTATCATCCTTCACTGGTACCCCGCCGGTGTATACCGATAGCACGGGTGAGGTTACCATTCCATTATCATCCATTAAAAAATATATATACATACTTATACATATTATATAGTCAATATAAACAACGACTTTTATTTATTAATTTAACTCTTGTTTGCACCATAAACAAAAATATACAATGACAATTGAACAATTCAAGTGAAATACAGTAACATAAATACAGTTCGAAATATATACATAAAGGTACAAAAGGCATTCTTATCGTTAGAGCAATCTGTTACATCTTATGAATATAATATTGATTTACCTTTTACATTTCAATCTATTAAATTTTAAAACGTAAAGCTAAATAAAGTAATTACTTATATATATATATATATATATATATATGTATATGTATATATAATATATATTAAAATACAAATTTATTAATTAAAATAGCTGCCATTTACTATAGTTCTGACAACGAATAGGAATCCTTTCACGTTAAATTCAAATGTGCTTCCCGGAATATGGGCATATCAAATGTTATAGTTCTGAGTTTATACTCTGTTTCAATAGAAATTAATGAAAAGGTAACCAAGTTCATTGAAATTATTGCAAGAACGCTCTCTAAATGAAATTAGTAATAATTCGAAACATTCAATCGATTAATTGTTTTTTATTTATATTATTATTAGAAGAATGGTCTTCATCTTATCAGCCTTTAACTGTCCACTGCTGAATATAAGCTTCCCCCTTGAGAGGTTTGCCAGTAGTTGCCGTGCTTGGCAGGCGGATTGGCAACCGCAGTTAGGCTTTAGAGATGTTTTAAGAAGGACGCTGCTGCCCATCTCTCGCCCTCCCGTAGTCGCCTCTTACGACATTTACGAGAAAGGAATGGGTGGCCTATTCTAGGCAGAGTTGGCACGCCTTTTTGTTTATTTTCTCCTCCTCTTTCCGTTACGCTGGGTCGATTTTCGTAATCACACGACGCCTTTTATTTCACTGATATATCTCGCTATCAGTTAGGCCAAGCTTCTTCATATCCTTCTGGATATTTTTATTAATGGATGATAATAGAATGGTAACCCCACCTGCACTAACGATATACGATGACGGGGCACCAGTGAGGGATGATTGGTGATGTTGAAAGCAAGTCAGTTAGCCCACCGTGATTTTTTTTTGATGGATGAAAATGGTATGGTAACCCCGCCTGCGCTAACGGGATACGCTGACGGAGCACCAATGAAGGATGATAGATGAGAATGAAAACAGGCCAGTTAGCCCATCATGATGAATTCATCAGGAATTAACCATGATAGTATCCAGGGGGAACCGCGAGGAGGTCGACCTGGTTGGGTATATTGCTAGCAATGGAATTCTCAGTCTCCATTACTAACAATCCCTTTCCCCCCTACCGTGATATTCATCACCTAGAATTCAGCACAATAGTTTTCAGGTGGAACCCAGTGGAGGATAACCAGACAGGGTATATTGCTAGCAATGAGACTAGTAGCCTGCTTACTATTACTAACAATCCCTTCCCCTCCCATTCTAAATATTTGACATCTATGTAGTACGCGACCTACTTCGTCCACCCTTTTTTTACAATCATGCATTAAAATGCATTTCTTTACTACATGGCTATCGAGTCGCCTCATGAAGATTGTCGGTTTTATGGTCGGATCGATTATTTATTTGTTTTTTTTTTGTTTTTTTTTATGCAACTTAGAATGGCAAACAAGCTGACGGCCCACCTGATGGAAAGTGGTAACCGTCGCCTATAGACATGAGCGTACTGCTCATGTCTACATGAACATAACAGAGTATACTGCTTCCATGAGCCCCATATCCATGATAAAATTAGTAAGTTTTAGTCTGGTCTTCTGTACAAGACTTTACGGTAAGAATCAAAAATGCTAAACAAAACTATCCCATTTTGGATTACAATTGTAAATATATTTTATTACTAAAAAATCGTTGTTTTGTTATTAAAATTACACATTATATTTTTATATAATAACTACGGGTTTAACTTAAGTGTAATTTTATCGAGAAAATTTAACTAGTTTAAGTTAGTTTTAGCGTTAGGCTCGGGCTCGCGTCACATCCGCTCAAGACTAAGGGTCCCAAATGGTCCCGAAACTAGTCGAGATTTCTGCACCAAATTACACGTAAATTATTTATTTTTATTATTACACTGTACACAAAATAATATTTTATATTATGTCAATCCAACCGTCATACTTCGACTTTTTCATTTCTCTCTCACGAAACATAAAAAAGTCTCACATAAACAAATATAAAAGTAAACCCTGCTCGTGTAACCTCTAGGGCATACATTTAATTCTGTTTATGAAATCATTTCTTCATAATTATTATTTAACATGAAAAGAAAACGAACGACTTATATTAAAAAAAAAAAACAGGTATGTAACCTGAATTCTTGTAACCTTTATATTATATTGGATTTTATATGTTAAATTAAAGAAATAAACCGCTGAGTTTGTTGGAATATTCCATGTTTTTTTTTTCTGAATTTTACCCTATTTATAATAAATAGACTAGTTTTCCGCCCATTACTTTGTACGTGTGAATTTTAGAAATAGAATATCCAATCAATTATATTTATTTCTAGATGGCGTATCAAGATGAATCATATACCAAATTTTAAGTAAGATCTATAGAAATACAACTATGAAATAGAATTTGGTATAGTAGATTTTACATGATGACGGAACAAATATACAGACAGACAGACGGACAAAATTTCTAATGATTGTTATTTTGGCATCTATTGATCTTATTAAGTCTGCTTATATTAATTTTTCTTTAATAGTAACATAAGAAATAAGATCAGAACTGAACTAAATATCTGTTGAGTCAAAGTACAAATGTGCGTCTTTCAAGGCGCTTTCTTCCACGCACAACTACTCTTTGGTATTAACTTCCAGCAGCAGTATTTCCGAAACGATATGACATCACAACCTTCAAGAAGACCATTTTCCTTCTTAAAAAGCCAGCAACACACCTGCAATGCCTGTAGTGTAGTGAATGATCATGGGCAGCAGTAGTTGTAGTATATTATGTTCACGTACTGGCCACTAATAATTTGTAAATACTGGCCGATAATAATTTGTTCTATTTATTCTTTCAATGAATAAATTAGTGTTTAACCAACTCGCTTGCGTATCACTACATGGTGACAGCGGTGCGTTCATTTTATAGTTTTAAAATTCATATTTTATCATAAATATCAAATATTTTTTAAAAATTGATATAATTTATTGTAAATTATATTCGTAAATATGGAGCACGCGCGTCCTCCAGCGGAATTGTCGCTTGATGGTGGTCCGGCTGCACGCTCGGAAGCGTGGCGAAAATGGCGGAAAATGTTCGAGATTTTTCTGAAGGCTTCTGGAGTTAGTAAGGAACCTAAGGAAGTTCAGGCAAGTTTGTTGGTTAACCTCATAGGACCGGCCGGATACGAGGTCTATACAACTTTCACTTTGTACTACTTTCACGATGGCGAGACGAATGATGATATCAATTGTTTGTTAAAAAAATTTGATACTTATTTTGCCACGAAGCCAAATATTACGGTAAGAAGATTTAAATTTTTTACACGCAACCAAGACAACGGCGAAAATATTGATCTATATGTGACCGCCTTACGAGTATTGAGTCAACAATGTGAATTTAATGAATTACAAGAGTGTTACGAGATAGAGTTGTATGTGGTATCATCGACAACACTGTAAGAGACAGGCTTCTTCGTACGGACGACTTGACTTTAAACAAGGCGATACATATATGTCAGGCGGCAGAGATGTCTAAAGAAGAAAGTTTATGTATAGACAGGACACCGGAAGTTGTTCAAGTGAACGCGGTTCACGATAAGAGTGTTGCCCGAGGCGCTCGACCCGCACGGGGTTCGTTCCGGTCGAACGGAAGGCGACAGCGTGGCGGCGGCCGTGGCCGCGGCGCAGCGAGCTACCAGCAGCAGGAGCAGCAGCGGGAGGCGCGCGGCGTGTGCCCCGCGTGCGGCGGCCGGTGCCCCGGCGGCGAGCACTGCGCCGCGCTGTATGCATCGTGTTATGTATGTGATAAAAAAGGACATTTCGCGCGAGTGTGTGTACAAAAGAAAGCGATGCGCAAAGTATTAAATCTCAGTGTAGAATCGGCGAGTGACAATAGTGACGAGGAAATGGTTTTTGTGGATACTATTGAGGAGGGCAGAAAACTGAGTAAGTCGTCTTTGGAATGGACAGAGGTAATGGAGTGTAATGGTAAAAAAATTATTTTAAAAATAGATACGGGTTCTATGATCAATGTTATTTCTAAAAAAATATATTTGTATTTGGGTTTCTCTATTATGAATCTTAAACCGTTCACAAAACGAGTACATTCCTTTACGGGTAATCAATTGCCAATTTTAGGCTGTGATATAATTACTTTTCAATATAATAATAAATATTTTAATTTACCATTTGTTATTTCTGATTTTAACTGTCAGAATGTACTCGGGTTGGAAAGCTCAATTGTTTTAGGTTTAGTCAATCAAATAAGTGCATTAAATATTGAGCAATATTCTCATTTATTTCAAGGTTTAGGTAAATTACCAGGGAAATATAGTATTATAGTAGATAAAACCATACAGCCCGTTGTCTGTCCTACTAGAAAAATTCCTTTGGGACTTAAGGACAAATTACGTCAGGAATTACATAGAATGGAAGGGTTAGGTGTAATCAGAAAGGTGACATACCCTACTGAATGGGTTAATGCAATCGTTCCCGTAGCAAAAAAAGATGGCAGCATTCGTGTTTGCTTGGATCCTCGACCTCTTAACCGCGCAGTCCGGCGTGCGCATTATACTTTGCCGACGGTGCCCGAGTTGGCAGCGCGATTACGTGGTGCTCAGGTGTTCAGTGTTTTAGATGCACGGTGTGGTTTCTGGATGGTGGAAATTGATGAGGCCAGTGCTGACCTTTGTACGTTTGGCACGCCGTTTGGACGGTACCAGTTTTTACGTTTACCCTACGGCATTAATTGTGCACCCGAGGTGTTTCACGCTAAGATTAGGCAACATCTAGAAGATTTAGAGGGAGTCGAGTCTTTCATTGATGATGTTATTGTATGGGGCCGCAATAAAGAGGAACACGATTGTAGGCTTAAATGTCTTTTGCTACGTGCCAGGAATGTTGGTATAAAATTTAATCGTCAAAAATGTCAATTTGGAGTGTCTGAAATTACATATTTAGGACATAAGTTTGATGCAAACGGTATGCGAGCAGATTCCGCAAAAGTTAAAGCAATAATGGAGATGCCTTATCCTAATGATAAAAAGGCACTAGAGCGATTCTTAGGAATGATAAATTATTTAGCAAAATTTATTCAAAATTATTCGGAATGTGTAAATGTGTTAAGGTTATTACTTAAAAAGGATTCCGAGTGGTTGTGGGAGGCTCAGCACACTGAGGCTGTGGATAAACTGAAAGCAAAGCTAGCGAGTGCGCCAGTGTTGGCGTTGTACTGTGAGCGCACCCCCGTAGTAGTGTCGGTTGATGCGTCCAGTGTAGCATTGGGCGCTGTGCTACTGCAAGATGGTCGTCCAGTAGAATTTGCATCGCTCACTTTAACCGACACTCAGACCAGGTATGCGCAGATAGAAAAGGAAATGCTAGCTATCGTGTTTGCAGCCGAACGTTTCAGGCAGTATATCTACGGTAGATCAGATGTCACCGTTCATACGGATCACAAGCCGTTAGAAACTTTATTTAATAAACCATTAGTTTCTGTTCCGGCGCGCTTGCAGAGGATGATGATGAGAGTTCAAGGCTATGATTTTAAGGTAGTATATACACCGGGAAAGTATATATATATAGCCGATACACTTTCGCGGGCACCTTTAAAAGATCTAATGCATGATCGTGTTACTGATGAAATTGAAATTCAAACATGTTTCGTGTTACAACATGTACCTTTCAGCGAAGAAAAAATGAAGATTATTAGGGGTGAAACGAAGATTGATAATGACTGCAGACGACTGATGAATTATATTACTAACGGTTGGCCTAAGAATAGACGTGACGTCCATGAGAATATAATTGGTTTTTGGCCTTATCGCGAACAACTTCATTGTATGGATTATATGATTTTCAAGGGTGACTGTATATTTATTCCGCGCGCTTTAAGAGACAATATGGTATCGCAAGTGCACGAGGGACATTTAGGCATAGAGAGGTGTAAGCGGCGTGCTCGCGAGGTGATGTTCTGGCCGGGCATGAGCGAGGACGTGGAGCGCGCGGTGCGGGGCTGCGCGGCGTGCGCGCTGCACGCGCCTCGTCCTCGGCGCCAGCCGCTGCTGCAGCATACTGTTCCGGCATTGCCTTGGCGGAAGTTGGCTTCCGATATTTTTGAATACAAAAGGAAAAATACATTATTTTAGTTGACTATTTTTCTAATTTTGTAGAAGTTGGAATATTACAAAGTCTGAGCTCTAAAAACGTGATTAATTTTATGAAGGAACAATTTTCACGTCACGGTACTCCCACTGAATTAGTTACTGACAATGGTCCAGCTTACAGCTCGATTGAATTTAGGAGGTTTATGCGTGAATGGGAAGTAGAACATGTGACGTCGTCTCCGCTTTACCCACAGTCTAACGGAAAGAGTGAGAGGACCGTCCAGACGATAAAAAATATATTAAAGAAATGTGTGGACTCGGGCCAAGATTTTTACATGGCACTTTTAAATTTTAGGGCTACACCACGGAATAATTTAGACTCTCCTGCACAAATTTTAATGGGTCGGCGAATAAATACGAAATTACCGATTACTGAAAAGTTACTGTCTGAGAAAGTGAATAATGAACGAAATTATTCAGCGTTAATGGCAAACAGGGAAAAAATTAAAAAGCATTATGATCTGTTGACGAGGCCGTTGAAACTTCTCTTTCCAGGTGATAAAGCGACTCTTATTGATAATCGTTGTAGAAAACAAGTTTCAATTGTAGAGCGTACCCGTCAACCCCGATCATATATTGTGGAAGATGAACATGGAAGTCGTTATAGGCGCAATCGCAGTCAATTGGTCGCACGTACTACAGGAACTCGTAAAGCAGCTCATTTGTTTCAAAGTCGACCAGCAGCGTTTCTCGAATGCGGCACTTCACAAGAAGCGATTTCAATTAAACGTGCACGTAAACGTAGGCAAATTCCTCACGATATGTCTTCGTTGCCTCAAAGCTCGAAAGAAATTGCCACATCTAGTACTGTTACGACAGATGTCCACCAATCAGCTTCTTCACACAGTGAAAATAAACTACTAAGTGATAAATCACTTTCGCCGCCCTTAGTTCCTATAACAAGGTCAAAGGAAAGAACAGCGCGAATGCTGATAGACTTATTTGTTAAACAATATAAAGAATAAAATAGTAGGCTTAGTTTAATATTTTCTTTTATGATTATTATTAATCTGGAGTATTTTTATTTTTATTTTTAGTTATTATGTTTGATGATGTTAAGTTTCTTTTATGTTAATAACTAAGCGTCATGTTATAAACTTACGATATACTATACATAGATATCGAAATATTTGTTGTTCTTTGAAAAAAAAAGTAATATATTTTTTTTCTTTATTTGTATAACTCGTTACTTTATTATTATTATTATTATTTTTTCTTTCGAAGGAAAAGAGATGTAGTATATTATGTTCACGTACTGGCCACTAATAATTTGTAAATACTGGCCGATAATAATTTGTTCTATTTATTCTTTCAATGAATAAATTAGTGTTTAACCAACTCGCTTGCGTATCACTACAGTAGTTACCATCAGGTGAGCCGCATGCTCGTTTGCCCCTGTATTATAAAAAAAAAATTATAAATCTTAACAGAGTTCATACTGTAGTTTACATAAATGTGACAAGTTTATATCAATATCAGAATTTTCTTTGTCGAAATTTGTTGCTAAGCGCAAAATTCGTGAACGGCTTACCTAATTTGGCTAATTTTTTTTTTCAAAATGTTCGTTTTATATTTTTGAAGATTTTTGAAGATTTATAAGACGAGAAAAATTGGTAAAATGACCCAGAAAAACGTAAAATGCCCCTAGCTGAAAAGTTTGACAGAATGACAACTGTCGAGTCAGCTGGTTTTGAATATTTCTGATTAATTAAACAGTATTATGACAGCAAACGAAAATTTTAATTATGCAATGAGATTCTTTCTTATTTAATAAAATTTGGATTTTGATCACAAAAAAAAAGTGTTTTTATGCAATTTAGAATGACAAACTGACGGCCCACCTGATGGAAAATGGTAACCGTCGCCTATAGACATGAGCAGTACCATGGACATAACAGAGTATACTGTTTCACCCATAATACCCCCCATGCGTTGCCATTGTTGAGGACTCAGGTGTTATTCCTCTGTACCCTGTAAATTCACTGCCATATTCCACCCTACAAACCGAAATACAGCTATGCAAACACAACTGCTTTACGGTAGAAACACGAATGGGGCAGAGGTGCTCAAGCAAACGACTTTTGTACAAAGTGGGAGACTTTAGTAAATATTTGAATATTTTTGAAAAAGTAACTAACTAAGAAATTCTATATAACAAAGCATTATTTATTCAATTTAGATATTTTGCGCCGGATAATAAAATCTACCTACTCGGCATTATCCCGAGTGAAGCCTACAAAATATTCCTGTTTGCATCTTTATGAGAGATTTTAACAAATTTTATGGAAATCCAATATTTAACGAAACATTTTCAATTGGTGAATTTGTTATGCAAAACAGATAACCCCGGGCCAGCCGAGTAATTACCTACTCTTTATCTCGTTTTAACTATATAAATAATGTTCCACAAAATATACCGACTTCGAACTGTAACAAAAGCGGGGGGAAAGGGATTGTTAGTAATGGAGACTTAAAATCCCATTGCTAGCAATGGGTATATTGCTCCAGGTCCAGGTCCACTCCAGGTCGACCTCCTCCTGGTTCCCCCTGGAAACTATCATGGTTAATTCCTGATGAATTCATCATGATGGGCTAACTGGCCTGTTTTCATTCTCATCGATCACCCTTCACTGGTGCTCCACCAACGTATCCCGTTAGCGCAGGCGAGGTTACCATTCCATTTTCACCCATAAAAAAACTGTTACAAAAGCAATTATTTTGGATTGAAAACTAAACTACTGAAGCAATTTTGATATTTCTTTTGGACCATTCTGTAAATTTATATTTACATATTGGTCCTTCTTAAAACATCTCTAAAGCTTGACTGCAGTGCCCAATTCACCTGCCAAGCTTGGCAGCTACTGGCAAAACCCCCCAAAGGAGAGATTTATTTATTTATTTTAAAAATACACTGCTGAACATAAGTCTCCCCCTTGGGGGTTTTACCAGTAGTTGCTGCGCTTGATAGGCGAATTGGCCTATCAAGCATTGATAGGTCAATCCGCCATATCGTATCGTGATGAACTGCGCTTTAGTTAAGCTTTAGAATGCTGCTGCCCATCCCTCACCCTTCCGTAGTCAACTCTTACGACACCCACAGGAAAATAAGAGGTGGCCTGTTCTATGCCGGGACCACACGGTAGAATTTATTAATAATTATTGTATTACAGGCAAATTATTCCATAATTAAAAACAAAATACTTCTTGCATGATATTAATGCAAGTTGAATAGTCTCGATGTATTTTAGCGTTAATACAAAAATTCTCGGTTACTGAATGCTAATAAATATAACATTTTTCCAGTTATATTGAAATTTTGTTATAATAAATAAATAAAACAAAAATAATTACACTGACATAATAATGAAAGTTACATCCTTAGTAATATTATAAACATGAAAGTGAGTTTGTTTGTTTGTTCCTTATAACACCTTAACGGCTTAACCAATCACTATGAAATTTACTATATACGTACCACACGAGATGACAAAAGATATAGGCTACATTTTATCTCGGTCAATAAACATATCCCGATCACGCGGAAGAAGCCGCCGGTGAAAGCTTGTATAAAATATAACGCAGTTTTTCAACATGGCCGCTTAAGAACGCATCATCACGGTCCACCCACAAGGGGGTGATCGATCTCCTCAGCTCGTATCAATCTCGTCGTAACGGGATTTATCCTTATTACATTAAATTGGTTTCTTTTTTAGACTACAACAATATAATAGAATGACTCAAATGTCACCCAAGTGTCTTGTAAACAGACAATATTCAAGAATATGACTAGAGTGTTTGAGTATGAGTGAGAAATTATTCTGAGTGGTTCTTCATCTTATATATATATATATATATATATATATATATATATAGTAATACAATCTTAGTGTTAATGACGGTGGTCAATCTTCGAATATTGGCAGTTTAGACATACTAATGGTAGAGGAATTAAACAATCTATTTCGAATCAAATAACCAGTGATTATTATAATTATGCTAATTCTAGCTTCAAGCTAACAATATTTATGAATATAAGTATTCATTCATAATCTCGTCCATTCTCAGTTTTCCCACATACAAACTGACAACTACATTATTATTTGTTAGACAAGGACTCAATCGTGGAATAAAGAGGTCTGGACCATGGCCAATAGAATGAAATGTCAGTTATGCCATAATACAATTTCGTTGTGTTCCAGACCAGATTGCTGAGTAATAGTTACTTTTGCTTGCGTTTTATTCCATTTTCGAAGTCACAGTGACGTTTAGTTGTCATTACTTTTCCTTGTGGTCACATAATATTATCACCTCTTGTAGTCTTCTGTTGTCCTGGTACTTTATACGATATTGCGATGTGATTACACTGTATATAAGAAACTAACTTTTGCCCGCTACTTCGCACGAGTAATAAATCCAATGAAGTAGGGGGATGGGCTTTTTAGTAATGTCATTTCTAGCAATATACTCTGTCAGGTCGACCTCTACGTGGTTCCCCCTAGAAACCATCGTGGTTAATTCAAGTAGAATGCGTCTCGATCGGCTAATTGGCCTGCCTTTTCATACTCACCTGTCATCCCTCACTGGTGCCCCACCAACGTATACCATTAACGCAAGCGAGTTTACCATTCCATTATCATTTATTAAAAAAAATTCAATGAAACAGGCCACGTCTAGGTGACGTATCACAATAATGCATACACCAGTTTTAAACCAACTTCAAAAAGAAGAACGTTCGCAATTCGGTTGTATTTAAGTTTGTTACCTCATAACTCCATCAATTCAAAACGGATTTGAAAAATTCTTATTTTGTCTGAAAGAATATACATACAAATGAATCTAAATTAAATTTTATCAAATTTGATTTAGTAATTTATTTTTTAAATCAAAATAACTGGTAATATGTTACTAATTGAAGTCGGCTCTTTTTGTGGATTTAATTATTACGAATTGTACTAAAATAAAACCAATGCACACGAACATCA